AAGAAAAAATAAAAATAAAAATCAATTACAAGACTGAAAAAATCATAAATATTTGGAGATTTAACAATATGCTACTAAATAACCCATGGGTCAAAAGAGAAATTTAAAAAATATCTTGAGTCAATAAAACAGAAACCCAACATACCAAAACTTATGGGGTGCAGCGAAAGTATTCTGAGCGATGTTTATAAGCAATAAATACCTACATGAAGAAAACAGAACAATCTCAAATAAACAAGCTAACTTTATATCTCAAAAAAAAAAAAACTACAAAAAAAAAAGAAGAAACAACACCCCAAATTAGTAGAAGGAAGGAAGTAACAAAGCTCAGGGCAGAAACAAATGAAATAGATATTTAAAAAATCAGAAAGACCAAGGAAATTAAGAAGTAGTTTTCTGAAAAACAAAACAAAACAAAAAAACAACAACAACAAACAAAAAACAGACAAACCTGTAGCAAGACTTATGAAATAAAAGATGAGACTAAAATAAAAAATTAGAAATTAGAAATGATATCACATAAATACAAAGGATTATAAGAGACTAAGAACAATTACATGCCAACAAATTGGACAATCTGAAAGTAATGGATAAATTCCTAGAAACATACAACCTTCCAAGACTGAATCATAAAGAAATAGAAGATCTGAACAAACCAATTACTAAAAAGGAGACTGAATCAGTAATCAAAAACCTTCCAACAGAGGCACGTGGATGGCTCAGTCAGTTGAGTGTCTGGCTCTTGATTTTGGCTCAGGTCATGATCCCAGAGTCATGAGATGGAGCCCTGGTCAGGCCTGCTTGGGATTCTCTCAATCTTTCTGCCCCTTTCCCCCACTCCCTTGCTCTCACTAGTAAAAAACTAATAAATAATAATAAAAGGGGTGCCTGGATGGCTCAGTTGGTTAAATGTCTGACTTTAGCTCAGGTCATGATCTCACAATTCAGAGTCTGAGCCCCACTTTGGGTGAGGAATGAGCCCTGCTTTGGGTGAAAACTGAGCCCCAGTTTTCTCTCCCTTTCTCTCTGCCCCTCGTGGGATTCTCTCACTCTCTCTCTCCCCCTCTCTCTCTGCCCTTGCTCAAAAAAAAAAAAAGAACCCTCCCAACAAAGAAACAACCTAAGTATCCATCAACAGCTGGATGGATAAAGAAGATGTGGTCTATAAATACACAATGGAATATTATTATGTCATAAGAAGGAAGGGAATCCTGCTATTTGCAACAACATGGGTGAACCCTGAGGTATTATGCCAAATGAGATAAGTCAAAGAGATAAAAGTTAGACAAACACTGCATAGTATCACTCATATGTGGAATCTAAAAAAAAAAAAAATTTAAGTCAAGCTCATGGAAACACTAGCAACATGGAAGTAGTAGGAAGTGGCTACCAGAGGCTAGGGGCCAGGGGGAGAATTAGGGAGAGGTTGGTAAAAAGGAACAAACTTTGAGCTATAAGAAGAAAACAGTCTGGGGATCTAACGTAAATCATGGTGGCTGTACTTGGTAACACTGAAATCTGCTAAGAGAGTAAAACTTAAATGTTCTCATACACCCAAAAAAGATAACTCTGTGAAGTGTGAGGTGATGGACATATCAATTAACTACAGGGGAGAGGGGCTGCCCCTGGGTGGCTCAGTCGGTTAAGCGACCAACTTCGGCTCCAGTCATGATTTCACGGTTTGTGGGTTCGAGCCCCGCATCAGGCTCTGTGCTGACAGCTCAGAACCTGGAGCCAGCTTCAGATTCCATATCCCTCTCTTGCTCTGCCGCTCACCTGCTCATGCTCTCTCTCTCTCTCAAGAATAAAAAAAATTTTAAAAAATAAAACCATTAAAAAATTTTTTTAAAAACCTACATGGGGGAATCCTTCCAAAAAATATATACGTATATCAAATCACCATAATGTACAGTTTAAATATCCTACAATTTTATTTGCCAATTATACCTCAATAAAGCTGAAATAAGAAATGAACGGTGCTAAGGACTGAACTGTTCCCTAGAAATTCACATGCTGAAGCCCTAGTCTTCATCGTGATGTGAAAGTATTTGGAGATGGGGCCTTTGGAAAGTAATTAGGGTTAGATGAGGTCCTGAGGGTCGGATCCTCCTGACGGGATTAGCAGCTCCTAAGAAGAGGAAGAGAGAGAGAGCACTGGGTTCCCCTCCATCCTCATCCTCACTCCTGGGGCCTTGTGAGGACACAGCTAAAAAGCAATACTGCAAGCCAGGAAAAGAACCCTCACCAGGGAACCAAATCCACCAGCACCTTGATCTTGTACATCTGGTCTGCAGAACTATGAAAAATAAATTCATGTCGTTTAAGCCACTCAGTATGGGATTTGTTATGGCAGCCCAAGGTGACTAAAACAAATAGGTATGGGCTACGTATGCTGATAGTGAAAGAGCTTCAAAATATATCACGGAAAAAGAAAAAAAAAAGCACGTTAAAAAACAGTGGGCAAACATGATACTATAGATGTAAAAAATAATAAAATAGTTTGTTGTTCAGATCCACGTATTCTCAATTGTTTGAGAATTAATTGTTTCTATTAACTCTCCACAACTCAGGTACCCGGCCTCTTCTCATTTAGCAGAAAAAGTTCTCCGCTGCTACAATCATCATCAAGGGAAGGAAAAGAGCCAATTAGTTCCCTGTTCTGTGAGATGTATGATCAGTCCCTGCTTTCTGTGGCACACACCCAGCTTTACGGCCTGATGACAGTCTTGGGCAACTAATTATACTCTAAGGAGCTGAGGCAAAGAGTTAGGAAAAGTTTGCAAAGAAGCAAATTAATGTCATCCCTTGGGGGTTGGGTTTCAGAGCTGAGAATTCTTTCACCTCCTTGAGATCCCCAGGAGCCTACAGGTCAGTAATTAAAAGCATGACTGGAGGCTGTGAGAATGCCTGTGAGCCAAACTCTTCCTACAACCACACCGCGCACCCAAACCAGGACTCAGGACCCCGTCAGAGCCACCAAACAAGACATTTAGCAGCAACTGGGTCACCATGCCGATGCAGAAGCACAGAGGCTATTTCTTTCCCATCTACTCCTTCCCCAGACAGGCGTCTCTGGAAAGGGGGAGGATCCCACCATTTACGGAACCCCCTGTTAGGTGCCAGGCGCCGTGCTAAGTAAGCACTTTATCTATTGGCTTGACCAATATGGGACAGAACGCCAGCGCTCATCAATGCCCTCAGTTCTCCTCTGCTTCCTGGGTACACAGCTAACTGCTATTTCCCTGTCAGTGCAATGTGGCTGAAAGTGATATACGTCATTTCCAAACTTGGCCCATAGAAACCTCCCAGGAGCGCCTGCGTGGCTCAGCTCATGATCTCACGGTTTGTGAGTTCAAGCCCCAAGTCGGGCTCTTACTGACAGCTTGGAGCATGGAGCCTACTTTGGATTCTGTGTCTACCTCTCTCTCTGCACCTTCCCCACTTGTGCTCTGTCTGCTCTCTCAAAAATAAATAAACATAGGAAAAAAATATTTTAAAAAAAGGAACCTCCCACAGTTTTCCACGCTCTCCTCCTCATCTGCCAGCTAGGAAGTGACACTCTGAATGACCTTCAGAGGTTCGGGTGAGAGGGAATGGAACCTGTACCAGCCTGGGTCCTTGAATGGTGCCAGCGACTTTAAACTGTGACGTGACTATTAAGCCACTGAGATTCTGGGACTTGTTGGTTACAACAGCAGTTAGTTTACCCAAGTCATACACTTTAGTTCACCATCCAGAAAATACAAATTAAATCACATCTTTTATCTACCCAATGAATTGCTCTAGAACACACCTGCCTTATTAACATAAGTCCACCAACTCCCCACATAATGTTAGACCCCTTCTCCATCCCAAATTGTCCATGAAGTTCTGAGGAATTCTCAATCCAAAAGACTCTTGCTGCCAAAGGCCATGTGGGAAGAGAGAAATTAAAAAACTGAGAGGCACTCTTTGGTTGTTGCCATGTAATCGGTCCTGTGTAATCTGATAGGCGTGGGCTTACTACCCAGGTGAAGACTTTGCCATGACATGGTTAGACTCCATACTCAAGCCCCAAAGTCATAGCTCTCCTTGTCCATTCTCACACACCTAGCTATTGTTCCCCCAAAACACCACGGTCCAGTATGGCTGATACAACAGGTTGACGCTGTACAAACCAAGCCTCCCACACAATTGCTGGTGCTGACCCTGCATCACCAACACCGACCCCTCTTTCCCTCATGGAGGGCTCCCTCTTGCAGCTTTTAATATTCATTCATGCTGACGGATCACGGTCAATGTTACCAGGAGCCACCAAAATAGGTTTCTCTAATTGCAAATCTCAGAGACCAAAAGGTAGGGGCTTCAGTCCTTCCTTCCCAGAAAGCTCCTTGCTCTGTATGCAAATTGTGCATAGCAAGGGGAGAGGCACTTTGTGCTCTGCCTCAGGACAGACATCGGAATAAAAGGTCCCCACACTTACTTTATCTGCATTACTAAGCAGGGCGCTCAATTAACTTCTCAGAACTAAGACATCTACTCCAAGGAAACTTCCGGCCTCTGCCTTTATAGAAAAGCAGCTCGCAGTTAAATTGAGTTTTGTACAAATTATCTCATTTAAGCTGCGTAAACGCTATTATGTAGCACTCGTTATTACTAAACGCTATTATTCCCACAAAGACCCAGAAGTTCGAAGAGGTGAAGTGGCTCGTCTGCCAACTAGAAGGCGGTCAGCTAGGACACGACTCGGGTCCATCTGACTCCAAAGCAGGTTCTGGAGATCAGGAATCTGGGAGTGGCTTAGGGGCAGGTCTGGCTCAAAGTCTCCCAGGAAGCTACAGTCTGTAAGCCGGGGCTGCAATCATCTGAAGGCTTGACTTCAACAGAGTTGGAGACTCTACTTCCAAGACCATCTGGCTGTTGACAAGAGCTTCAGCTCCTCACCACGTGGGCCGCTCACAGGGCTGCTCACGAGAGAAGCTGCAGAGACGTTTACAACCTAATCTCAGAAGCAGCGTACCATCACTTCTGCTACATTCTGCTGGTCACACGGACCGACCCTGGTACAAGGCCCAACGGGTCCACCGGGCTGTGAGTGCCAGGGAGTAAGTACCATTGGGGGCCATCTGATGGCTTGGAGACCACACGGGATCTCTTCCCCTTCTTTTTCTTATCTAAATTTTTTGTATACTAAATTATAAGGGGCAAAGCTACCGAGTGCTGGCAAGGGCACTTCCTCAACCCTGCTGCTGCTTTTTAGGCATCCGCTCTCTGGCTTCTAGTTCCTTTAATCACCCAATTGTCTTCCATCGCCCTCCCACAGTTTAACCGAGGATGGCATCCTCCGCCCGGTCCTCTGGCGCCATCTAGTGGCCACACCCGAAATGGCTGCCCCAGCCAACGCTTCTCAATTTTGGGGTCCAAGGATTTACCTGCCTTCAGGAATGTGACTTTGAGAGGATGTGACGCGTAGAGCCTGGGATCTCATGATTTTCCTCAGGAGTCCCAGAGACGCTGCACGCCCAGCTCCAGAAGGGAGCTGTGAAACCCCGGAAGGGATGGATGAGCCGTCAGAACATTTGAGACCAGCGACTAAACCTGCCGCCTCCTTCTGCTCACCCCAGATGTAACTAGCCCTCCACCCTGGCAGGTGCACGGACACTCAGCCAGGAGCACGAAGGTGCTCCCTTGTTCCCCCCAGCTTTACTGCTCAGAACCTAACGTCCAATGGAAACCAACTTGACAATAAACTATTAAAAAAAAAAAAAAAAGAACCTAACGTCCAAAAACTTAACCTTCTTTTTTAACAGCTAGCAGCAGGAGGGACTCAAAAACCGGCCTCGGGGTCACACTCGTTTTTAAAGAACCTTGTAAAAGTTGACAAATATATTTAAAACTCTGTTGTAGCTATTTGTTTTTTCATCAAGGAGAAAAAAATATTAGATTTTAACGAATTGAGTAGTCGCTGAAAGAAATTAGAAAATTTAGGCTGCTAGGTACCTTCGGGTTCTGTTTATAATTGCCTAGTTAAGGGGCATCTGGGTGGCTCAATCAGTTGAGCGTCCGGCTTCCACTCAGATTATGATCTCGCGGTTTGTGGGTTTGAGCCCCGCAATGGGCTCTGTGCTGACAGCTCAGAGCCTGGAGCCTGTCTTGGGATTCTGTGTCTCCCTCTCTCTCTGACCCTCCCCTGCTCACACTGTCTCTCCCTCTCTCTCTCAAAAATAAATAAAACATTTTTAAAAATAATAACAATCGCCTAGTTACGAAATGGACTATTTTAAGGTGATGGGTATTAAGGAGAACACTTGTGATGAGCACAGGGTGATGTACAGAACTGTTGAATTACTATATTGTGCACCTGAAACTAATATAACACTGCATATTAACTAACTGGTGTTAAAATTAAATCTTAAAAACAAGAAGAGTATTCTAAACGAAATCTATTCTTGAAAGAGATGACTAAGAACCAAGCCCTGGAGTTGATTCAAGCCCCAGCTCCACCAAATGCTAGCTGTAAGGTTGTTTTAGTTATGGCCACAAAAATGCGACATAATAAGCGATCCCAGAGCCATAGATTCTCCTGGAGTAAATCATTCTCCTGGATGCGTAGGTCAGCCAAAAACCAGCTAATGTAGGCCCGGCTGGACCCAGGTGCTCTGAGGTGCAGCCCAGCTGGGCTTGGGTGGGGCAGCTCTGTTCCTCAAGTTTTCATTCCGGGGCTCAAGTTCACAGGGCAGCAGCTGCCCAGCAGAGGTATTGCTCATGGCAGTGGGTGAAGTACAAAAGGATGAACAAAATCAAGTGAGGTGTCTTAAGATCTGGGTTCGGGACTAGTACTGTCACTTCTGCTCACATCCTTGGGCCAAAATGAATCGCCTGGCCTCATGCTGAGGCAGAGATGAGGGAGGGGGAGTGTCCTGGCCACCATCATCCTCCACGAAGCGGGACACGATCCTGCCTACCTCTCTCCGGCTTCATATTGTGCTCTTAGCTCTCCTCTGAGAGACTGCAGTTTCCTGGATCACTCTTCAAAGTGACCTGCCTCAGGGCCTTGGCACATTCTGCCACTCCCTCCAATCCTTTCTCAGTCTAGCTGCATTGTGTCAGCGGGTAGGTTTAATCCTTTTAAATTTCCTGTCTCTCCAGCAGGCCCTAAAATTCTACAGGGGCAGTGATCATATCTGTTTTGTTCTCAAATGTACAGACCCAGGGCCCACTGCCAACCCACAGGTGACCAATACAAATTTAAGTTGATAGGTGAATAGCTACCCTCTACTGGATGTTTCATACATCCCAGGCAATACACTGAATGTTACAACCTCAAAATTTTAACCACACTCATATTTGCAAAACATTGAACTGTCATCTATTCTTACTGAACTTACTTACCTTCAAGACTCCTCTTTGCTGAGTGTGGAGTCTGAGACATGAGGGTAAGTACGGAAACTTCCCAGTTGAAGGTGTGATGCCAGATGACATCGGGGCTCAAACGCCCTTGGGAAGATGCCCTTGCGGGGGCCTCAGTCTTTAAACTTCCTCAGCTTCAAAAAGACAGCAACACACACCCACCTCTGCTTAGGCAGGAGGGCTGTGTACTTAACAAGGCCCAGACACTCCACTCCTGACACTCGGGGCAAACTTACGCTTTCTGCCACCTGATGCTTATCAAAAGCAGGAGTTTGTGACTTCCGCTGGTCCACTGGGGTAGGGGAAGAACGAAAGCTCAGGCCTCCAAACTCAGACCTGCATGCCACACCGCACATCCCTCCGGAAGCCCCGTTTGTAAAGCAACCTGCTTTCTGTCCTCAACCAGGAATAATTAAATGGTAATATGCTCCAGATCTGTGCCTTTTTGCCTAATGAGAAAAGTACGTACAGCCGTGGCCTCAGGCAGACCTGGACATACCAGTAGTAGCATGCCTAGAAAACTGACCTTCGTCCACAGGGCATTTCACAGTAAACGGCTCAGGAATGTGCTGGAAGTGGTACTAGTTATTTTGCACTTGGCAAGCAGGCCAGCATGTAGCCGCAGTCTCCAGATGGTTGGGAGAAACAGGGAGGATGGGGGGAGGGGGGGAGACAGCAGGAGCCAGCCATGGGCAAAGTCCTGAAGAACCCCAGAGGACCCTCCCCCCCACCCAGTACCAACCACTGCTGAGAACCTAGTGGGGCCTGGCGGTGGGGAACCCAGTCTCCCCACTAAAGGGCTGTATGTGCCCTGTTCTGTGTGATAGATTCTACCCCTGGCTCGCATTAACAGGTCTCCATTCCCATTCCCCAGCCCAGGGTCCTGTGGCTCGTGTGACACCACGTGACCACCATGCAGTTTCCATCCAGAAATAGTGAAGGTAAATTGTGTCTGTGCACGTGGTTTCTTATGTATCACTCACACACACACACACACACACACACACACACACACACACACACACACATACACACACGCCTGGCTCGGTGTCTCAGGCGTGAGACGGCCTCAGGCGGCCACACAGCGTCCTGGAGCTCTTCCCTTCCAGGCTGGGCCGCCGCCCGCACACTCACCCTCCCACGCTCACGCTCCGGCCTCCCTGACACGCGCACGGTCCGGTCCCCGGGTCCCCGCGGGCAAAGCCTGGGCTTTCACGCCCCCAACGGGCCCCTTTCTCCTCCTGCGAACACTCCGCTTAAGACTCAGCTCGAAAACCACCACGGGTCATTCTTTTGGAATCGTGTTACCTGTGCCTTTACCCCTCCTCTGCTACTTCGTGCGTTCCTTTTGGGTTTGCGGCACATGGGGCCCCTTCTTACGGGACGACCTCCGCTGCATTCACCTCTGCCCGCTGGGGGCCTGCGGCTGGGGCGGGGGGGGGGGCAGGTTCTAGTGCCCCAGCAGGCATGCGCGCAGAGCATGCGCTGGAAAGCTTGCTCCTTGGCACTGCTTTGTGCACCCCCTATCGTGCGAAAGCCACAAGTTGATGCCTGGGGGGGGGGGGGGGGTTGAAATGCTGTTTTTCTTTATATTTGCACGACCTAACATACTAAAGATTTCATTTACATAAAAGGATTTACATAGAAGAGAGGATTCTGTTTCCCCCTACCAGAATATAACCTCCATGAGAGCAAAGGTTTTTGTCCTTTTTGTTCACAGCTGAATCAGGTATTTTGCTTTACCAGCCACGGAGGCCTAGGGGCTGGTGTGTCATGTGCACCTGTGGCACTGAGCTATAGTGGCTGGGGCATGGTGGCCACGGAGGCGTAGGGGCTGGTGCATAGCAGGCACTGAAAATAAAAACTGTCCAAGTTGCTACAGTATCCCAGAAATTCTGGGATGCCCCAAATCCATCACCAAAAAAACGCCTCTGAAAATCCTGGGGACTGGCCTAAGGTACGTGTACTACCACCAAATGGCACAAATGGAGTGTCTGTCCGTCTGTAGATCCATGCGCCTCACCCTCTGAGAGCACAGTAGCCACATCTTAGACGCACACTCACGTCTCCTTCCAAGTCTCCTCTTCACTTAGTCTCCCTGGCTGTGTGTTTTGGGCTGGACTACATCTCCCCAAAATTCATAGGCTGAAGTCCTAACCCCAGGACCTCAGAACGTGTTTGGAGACACCGTCTTTAAAGAGGTGAATATGGTAAAATTTAAGTCATTAGGGCGGGCCTTAATCCTCTATGACTGGTTTCCTGATCAAAAGGGGAGATTCAGACACGGACACAGAGGGAAGACCAAGTGAAGACACAGGGAAGATGGCGGCCATCTGCAAGCCAAGGAGAGAGAAGCCTCAGAGGAAACCAACCTGCCAGCACCTTGATCTTGGGCTTCTGGCCTCCAGAACTGTGAGAGACTGAATTCCTGTTGCCTAAGCTTCCTGGCCCGTGGCACTTTGTTGTGGCCCTGGCAAACTAACACAATGTACAAAATCCAAAAGGGACACATGTTTTTGTTAAGAATGCCCCAATTAAACACAGACCAGAGTACACTGCTTAGGAAACAAAATGGTGTGGACATAAAGGAAAAAGTGGGACAAAAAAGAAACAAAGGCACCATGTGTTGACACTTTTTATATTTGGTATTTGTGAGTCTTTTAAAAAAATTTTTTTTTCAGGCCATTTTTTTCCTTAAAAAAAAAAAAAGCAACCAACAGCAATACTCTGTACAAGTATAACAAACATTAGAAATATGCATCATTCCAAAATAGTTACAAGAAAATTACAGTTTTAGAGTCCATATCAACACATCCTGTTCATATGTGCCCCCGAGGGAAAAATGCTACAGTATGTTGAACACTTGGCTGCTATACAGTCTGAAAATGCAGAACTTGGACTTTTGAGGCAAATCGACATCAGTCACCAAGCCTTGTTTAGCGCACTAAGCACAACCCAGCACTGCAAAAGAAAACCAGGCTATTTCATCTGTGATGAAACGCAGACATGAATCAGACGCATAGGTGGCCCCCGGCGCCCCACGAGCCTCCGGCTCGACGAAGCCCAAGTCCAGTGCAGTCAAATCTGCCAATGTCCAGCGGGAGGTCACTATGTGCCCACGGGGAACAGACCCCCAAATGTCATTTCCCACTGGTGCCAGCCATCGCCAGGTTTACCTTTGGAAGCAAACATCCTTGCTCTTGAGAGAAGGTACTGATGCCCCAAATCCCCCGGACCAACTGACCACCAACCTTCAGGCCTTTCACTCATACCTAATCCCACCCTGGCTGTTTTTCTGTGTGCAACTGGCAAATAGGAA